TTTATCTCTGTGGCCGAACCACATGGACAAAATTGTTGGGCAGAGGGAGAGGTAAAGAAGAACCCAAAAATGTTTTTATTTTATAGCCACAATTATGATTAATGAGGTTAATGTCATTGTTACTTAAATGCACTAAACGTTTGGAATGGTGGATTGATTGATTAAAGGAATAAAATTATGGCAACGTAATTTGCAAGTTCACAAGTTTTTTTTATCTCAGAAATACAACACTAACATTTGAATATTCATGCTCTTAAATGCATCCAGGTTTTTGGCAGGACTTAGATAGGGAAGAATATAACGATTTTGTAATTCACACTAAAATGGCAAAAGGTACAAAATAATATTTTGCGTTTATTAAGTAGAGCACTTATAAAACATTGAGATATTTTATGAGATAAAGAAGTAAAAAACATTGAATAAATACAATATTGTTTTAATCAGAGAAGTTCTTATTTAAAAAGATAGGTTTGTTCGTAGACAGTTTTATCGCCAGTGTAGGTTGGATTGTAGTTGTAGATGAGGGCTGCTTGTTCCATCTCCAAAGTTTCATATTTGTTGTTACTCTTGCGAGCTAAACAAACAACAAACAAAATACACATTTATGAATGGTTATGAAAAAATTATCTTCAGTACTTAAAAAATATTCTATACGTTACATTACATTTATATATTACATGCACCAATTGTAAAAAAAGATGAAGAAGAAACATGGCTTATTTAGATTCCAAAATAAATAGTATATTCAAATAATAAATTGTCTAGCTTTTGCAATTTTCGAATTTCATAGAATTTGGAAAATAATTGAAAATCTTGTACCTACTTCGTTGAAATTTTGTTTGAAAATGATTGTGAAGGTTCTCGTCTTAACATTGTCTTATTAATTGAATACACACAAATACGAATACATTCAATAAAATCCTCTACTTAATTTTACATTTCCATAATGGGATAACAATTTTTTTCTGTATTTGACTTTCTGTATGTCAATCTCTTGCCGTATTTACTAGGCTG